CTCCTTTGCCCTTCCAATGTGTTATCTATTTCTGACAATTTAGTATTAATCTTCTGTATTTCTATATGTACATTTAGAATCATTTCTAATTTTTCCTTTATTTTGTCATTTTGTTCTTGTATTTTCTTCCAAAATTCTTCTAAAATTTTTTTCTGTGTTTTCTTTGGTCTGTCTCTCAATCCTTTGTAGATACCTCAAGATAATTCTTTTGAATTCCTTATCAGAGAGTTCCAATGCTGCTTCTTCCTTAGGGATGTGTTCTGGGTCTGAATCCTGCTCCCTTGTTTCTACCACTTTATCCTTCTTTTTTGTGTAAACTGTGATGATCTGTTGTTTCCGAGGCACAGTGGCCTTGTTGTATTTATATCTCTGTTAACTATTTGTGAGAGCAGCCAAGGGTGATTCAGGCTCTTCTTGGAGGTTTTTTTTTTTTTTTTTTTTTTTTTATCATTTGCCTGCTGTTGGAGAAGGAGGTGGTGGCTCTCACTCAGTAAGTGAAGTCTCAGAAGTTGTGGGTGTAGTTGTCTCTTATGGGGACTGTTGTCTCCCACTCAGTTAGACAAAAATAACAATTGAATAAACATCAAAAAACTAAAAGCCCATGGAAAATAAACACACCTTGTAATCACATAGGAACAGTAACCAAAAAAAAGAATAAAGGGAATAAAAGAAGGGAAAACAAGCAAACATTCAATATCTGGGGATAGGGCACTAAGGAAAAAATAGTAGGGAAGGAGATTAATAAATGAAGAAAGAAAATGGGAAAAATGAAAAAAGAAAAACATGGAATGGCATTAATCATGGCAAAAAGGGTGGAAAGGAAAAAGGAAAAAAACAACCTTGTATTAAAAACAACAAAAAATATTTCAATGAGGCACAGAGAAAAGAAAAAATGTTGAAAACTAGGACCTGGTAGGGGAAGATTAAGAATAATAATAAAAAGGACAAATGTATTAATAATATTAGTTGTTTTAAAACAGACAAATACAAGCAAACTAATCACCACAAAAGAGAAAGTGAAAAAGCAAAAAGTTAAAATAAAAATTATAAAAAGAGAGAAAAAAATCGGTGGAGGACAG